CCTCTGGTCTAGCCAGACCTGCAAGGGAGAACTGGGATCATGATAGTGCTTCTTTATGGGGTTCTATTGCGGAGGGCACATTTTTGGCCCAGAGAACACAAGTGTATTTAAAAACATATCTCTCAGAACAACAGAGACCTTTCTCTAAATAGAGCTTGCTTTCCGAGCTCATGGTTGCAAGTGTAAAAACAAGGTCAAATGCTTTCGACCAAGTCCTCAGTTTACCACACATTTGTGACTGTAACTCTTTTGGGGAGTACAAAGCCTCATCATTCTCCTGTGGAGAGGCAGGGTTTCAAACTGCTTACTTTGCAATTAGCAGTCCAATGCAGAACCCATAGGCCCCCAGGGAAGACTCTGTATAATGACTTCAGCATACTGTAAAACATACATGGACTAGGGGGAAAAAAGGGTGGAGGGTTTTATTGAAATATTTGCTTTATTGTGGTGTTTTAGATTTGAACTTGCAACATTTCCAGAACCATAAATGACATCTGTCTTAATTATCTAGTGCAGCTGTATCAGAAGTAGAACAAGCAAATGTCTCTACTAAAAAGAAATTTATTTTCCACAGTTAGAAAGTCTAGGCAGTTCTCAGCTAAAGGGCGCTGGATGTAATAGATCTATTCCACCCCTAGCACGTCTTTCCCAGCAGCAGTTAGTCCTCTCATACCTCTGGAAAGCTGTGTCCTCTTTAAGGCTGTTGCCTCACACCCTCATTTTACATCAGATCACGTCACAGGGGATGATTTTATCCTTCTATAATGACCACATTACATCACTACCTTACTGCCAAGCCAGTGGGAATCATGGCTAAGCCAAATTGACATCTATTTTGGGGGGATCACAATTCAAACAACATCCTAATATATAATGGAATATAATATTGAGCTTGATTGTGTCCTGGATATCTCATTAACTCCTTTGTGCCTAAGAAAATAAAAACCAATATGATCTTTTATATCTGTGTTATCAAATTGTTGGATCAAAGTGTGAATGTGCTCTCTGCTGTATGATTTTCGACATGTTATATAATATAGTATTTCTGAGCTCCACTTTGCCTCTTTGAAATGTATGTGTATTGTACGGGTGTGGGATGGGTTGGGTGGTGATGGGGAACATACATGAGAATGTTTCAAAAAGTTCATAGATCAAAAACAATTATATCGATGTGAAGGAGTGGGCCCAGAGTGGAGACCCAAAACCCCTCTGTAGACAATTGGACAGACATCCCCTTACAGAAGGGTGACACAGAAGGGACGATTCAGCCAGAGTG